ATCTCCTGTCTTGCATCCATGAAGAAAAGATGACTGTTCCAAATGAAGAATTGAAGACTGAGGCACTGCTGATATCAGAGATGGGCATTGTTTCAGAGTGTGGGGAGAATTTGAGTTAGAGAAATAATTAGGAAAAAAAATTAAATCATCATATCTTTCCTCTCAAATTAAAAAACTGCAGTAGAGTTTTTGAATAATGAAATATTTGCCAATAGAGCAAAGTGTTCATTTTCTTGAACTCCTTATATCCACCATTCAAAATTTAGCACAGTTTTTTACAACAGTTGCACGTGGCAGCTGAGGAACAATTTGTGATATTAAACAGTTATATCCTAAATTTGTACACATGTAAGTCTAGATATAACTTATATGAGACACAGCACCTGTTCTTCTCATTGACAACTACAATTATAAATAGTTTCAGGTTTATAAAAATATTTAACAAGACCTAATTAAGCTTTTAAAAACTGAGTTAAAATTTTCAACTACATTTAAATAAATTTAAATTTTGATATTCATTATTATTTATGCTTTGCCTTGCCTTTAAATTTGGCAGGTAATTTTTAATATATTAGAAGAAAAATAATTTCTTGAAGACACTGAATTTCAAAGATTTTTACATTTACTTAAATTGATATACTTTGCACAACAAGATATTCAAATTTTATATATTTTTTTGTGGCAGTTGTAAAAGTTGGCCTCAAATTTTTTGACATATCTCCCATAGAGAGATAGGGGGTCCATATACTCCATTATACTATAATGTATGGCTTAGATGATGAATAGGTCTTCTCATGTTCTAAAATGACAGCTCAAGCTTCAGCCATCTCACTCAAAATTTAAGCAGCAGGATGGAGAAGGGAGGAAAAAGAGGAATAGCATTCATTTCCCAAGAGATTTCCCCCAAAGTCCCGTCTGTTCTTTAATGTATATCTCATTGGTCAGAACTGTATGCATATCCCCACCTAGCTGCAAAGGAGGCTGGGAAATACCATCTTTTGGCTACCTTATGCTCAGCAAAAAACAGGCTCTGTGTATCTGAGAGAGAAGGAAGAATGGATAGTGGTCAGCAATTAGCAGCCTCTGCCTAGAGTAAAACTTACAGAGTCAGACTGGAGAAAAGATGGGACTACAGAACAGTCTCCAGAGGATGAAATGAGGTAGAAAAGGGGGAGGGGGGAAGAAAAGAAAAGAAGTAGATACCCCCCTCTTATATTAAAGAAAAAGATAGCATCACAAATGAGTTTCTATTTAGGAATGGTAATCAATGTCTAATTAGTACAGTGCTTACGATTAATACAAACAGAAGGTTTTTTCTTAAAGATTTCGAAGTGAAAACATATTTCTTCTCTCTATAATGTGTGCATTGTTTATTAAATGCTGTGAACCACTGTTTGAATTACATAGTTATTTTAATCATGGTTATAGTAAAAATTAGTAGTGGTTAAAAAATTGGATCCTGGGGAGAGAAGTGGGAGGGAAGAGGAAATGGTTATGAAAGGACAACAGGAGGGATCTTTGAGGTGATGGAACTGCTCTGTGGTGGTGGACACATGAAACACACATATGATAAAATTGCATAGAACTAAATACAGGCACACACGAATGCTTAAAAGTAAAACTGAGAAAATGTGAAGATGGATGGATTGTATCAATGCTAATATTCTGATTGTGTGTACTACAATTTTACCAGGTTTTACCCTTAGAAGGTACACAGGATCTCTCTGTATTATGTCTTACAACTTCATGTGAATCTACACTTATCTCAAAATTAAAATTTTTTTAAAGTATCAGTTGATGAAAATGATACAACAATATTCATAGCTAATTTTTTTAAAAGGAAAAAATTTTAGAAGCTTGCCTTTTTACTCTCTTGATGTCTTTTTATTAAGAGAAGTTCTTGGGGTGCCTGGGTGGCTTAGTCAATGAAGTGCCCAACTCTTGATCTCAGTTCAGGTCCTGATCTCGGGGTCGTGAGTTCAAGCCCCATGTTGGGCTCCATGCTGGGTGTGGCGCCTACCTAAAAAAAAGTTCTCAATTTTAACGAGATACTATTTAATCAATCTTTTTATGATCAGTTATTTTTCTGCCCAGCTTTTTAAAAAAAGATTTATTTATTTGAGAGAGAGAGAGAGGTAGCGTAGACGAGCAGTGGGAGGGGCAGCGGGAGGGAGAGAATGTCAAGTGGACTCCCCACTGAGCAGGGAACCTGAGGCAGGGCTCCATCTCAGGACCCTGAGATCATGACTGAGCTGAAATCAAGGGTTGGCTGCTTAACCAACTGAGCCACCCAGGTGCCCCTTCTTCTGTCCAGTTTAAGAAATATTTGCCTACCCCAAGATCATAAGAATATTCTCCGATGTTATCTTGTAGCAGTTTTATTGTTTTACTGTCTACAGTCCATATGAAATTAACGTTTGGGTATGTATAGCTAGGAGTCAAGATACACTGTTGTCTGTATGAATATCCAATTGATATCCAGCACAACTTACTGACAAGATTACCCTTCCCTCAGTGCACTGTAGTATCATTTTTGTCATAGATCAAGTGCCCACATATGTGTAGGTCTGTTTCTGGACTCCGTTCTTTTCCATTGGTCTATCTGTCTATCTTACAGCCAAAGCCATACCATTTTGTTCTAGTAATTATTTAATCTTAATCATAAGAGGTAATATATAGTAGGAACAGGCCCTCCAACTTTGTTCTTCTTCAAGATTCTCTTGGCTATTCTTGGTCTTTTGCAATTACATATGACATTTGAAATCAGCTTCTCCATTTTTACCAAAAAATGCTGGGATTTTTACTAGGACTGCAATGAATCTATACATCAATTTGGGAAGAACTGACATGTTTTCACTCATAAGTTTTCCTAGCCATTAATTTTGTGCAGCTCTCCATTTATTTAGGTTTTATTTAATTTCCTCTCAGAAATCATATACAGCTTGATATGCAGAGATCTTGCACTATCATAGATTTATTCCTAGGTATTTAATTTTTTATTATAAATTTTACCATCTAAAATTTTAGGTGATATCTATAATACAATTGAGTTTATATATTGACCCTGTGTTTATCTTTCTCATTGCTCTTATTCCTGCATTTCTGTGCTTCCATCTGGGATCATTTTCCCTTTAGCCTGAATAACTCCCTTTAGCAATTCTTTGTGTGGGTTTGTTGGTGGTGATCTTCTTTCTCAATGCTTGTTTTCTAAACACATTTTTATCTTATCTTCATTTCTGAAGGATATTTTGCTAGGTATAGAATTATAGTGTAGCTTCTTCTAAGACCTTACTCAACTTTTTATGGTTTTCTTCATTTCTTTTTTTTTTTTAAGATTGTATTTATTTATTTGAGATAGAGTGAGAACAAGCGAACAAGCACGAGCAGGGGGAGTAGCAAAGGAAGAGGGAGAAGCAGGCTCTCCACTGAGCAAGGAGCCCAACGTGGGGCTTGATCCCAGGACCCTGGGATCAGGACCTGAACCCAAGGCAGATGCTTAACAGACTGAGCCACCCAGGTGCCCTGGCTTTCCTCATTTCTGTTAAAAAATCAAGTTCAATGGGGCGTTTAGTTGGTTCAGTGTCTGCCTTCAGCTCAGGTCATTATCTTGGGGTCCTGGGATCAAGTCCCGCGTCGGGCTCCATGCTCAGCGGAGAGTCTGCTTCTCCCTCTCCTTCTCCCTCTGCCCCTTCCCCCGCTCATGCTCTCTCTCTCTCTCTCTCAAATAAATAAAATCTTAAAAAAAAAAAAAGTTCAAGTCTTATTATTCTCTGTTTAAGGTAATGTCTTTTAACCTATATTTTTTGTGGATTTTCTCTTTTTCATTCTGCCTTGAGTGTTTTGAAGGAGGAATGCTGCATGTGCAGCTTCACAAGGTGAACTAGTATCAGTCTTCAAGATATGAAGTCTCTCTCTTCCTCCCAGATATCAAAAGCCATCACAGCTTTTCAGCAAAAGTACCTACATGGACTGCCCCTGCCCCCCTTAGAGCAAGTTCTTTTGCTACCCACTGCATGAGCAAGTGGGAGTAAGGCTGAGAGGCAGACTGTCTCTTCTTATAGCAGTACCTCAATCAATAACTCACACGTTGTCCAAGGGCCCTACTGATGTCAATCTTTTTTTTTCTGTGTACTTAGAATGTCCCCAAGAGCCACCTGCATTTTTGCATTAAGCCTCTGTTATGCAACTTTTGTTTGTCTACCTTCAATCCAATCCCATCTGCTTCCTATTTTTCAAGGATTCTCATAATGCCTGGTCCACTGAGAGCACCCCTTTGTGTTTTTCGATATTAAGGTACATGCATGGGTGCATATGAGTTTGTGTACCCATGTAACTTTTTTTGTAATTTTTAGACTTGGGAAAGAGGGGAGGATTTGGGAGAGGCTAGAGGCTAGAACTTGCTCTCAGTTGGCCATTCTCATTCAATCTCAGTTAAATTTTTAAGTACATATTGAACTCTTTTAATACCAAACACAGACAGCTGCTTGTTTGGAAATCTTTGCCTCTGAAGTGATGTCATATTAAGCTATTTCAATTTAAGACATGGTTTCCATGTTAAAACTGGCATCTGCAGGACATGTGTGAATAAATTCCATTCTCCCTCATCAAAATTACCTTTTAGATTTTAATATTAGATCTCAAAAGAATTGAGAGTTCTGTATCATAGATTCCTACAAACATAACAACAGCAACAACAGAAAGAGTATTATTGCTCAACTATAAAAAAAATGAGGGGAAAAGTAACTATTTGTTTTTTTTTTTTTATTCTTATGTTAATCCCCATACATTACATCATTAGTTCTAGATGAAGTGTTCCATGATTCATTGTTTGTGCACAACACCCAGTGCTCCATGCAGAACGTGCCCTCCTCAATACCCACCACCAGGCCAACCCATCCTCCCACCCCCCTCCCCTCCAGAACCCCCAGTTTGCCCTTCAGAGTCCATCGTCTCTCATGGTTCGTCCACCCCTCCAATTTCCCCCGCTTCATTCTTCCCCTCCTGCTACCTTCTTCTTCTTCTTTTTTTTCTTAACATATATTGCATTATTTGTTTCAGAGGTACAGATCTGAGATTCAACAGTCTTGCACAATTCACAGCGCTTACCAGAGCACATACCCTCCCCAGTGTCCATCACCCAGTCACCCCATCCCTCCCACCCCACCCCCCACTCCAACAACACTCAGTTTGTTTCCTGCGATTAAGAATTCCTCATATCAGTGAGATCATATGATACATGTGAAAAGTAACTATTTTAAAAAATTTGTTAAGTGCCAAAGTTAAAAATAAGATAAAGCAATTCAGAAAGATCCTGAGATGTTATTTCCTTGTACTCAACCCTAAAATTACTTCAATCAACAGACTCTTTTGCCAACACTAATAAATTCAGGAATAATTTATCATTGATTTACCTTGATTGTTACAGTGTAAATTCTAAATTTTTAAATCTAAAATAATCTCCAGGTGGTTGTACAATAGAAATTTTATATAAATAAATGCAATCCTGAAATAATATAAACTCTAAATATTCTTGAGTTAAACCCAAAGAGTTCACAAAACAATCTTTTGAAAAATATTTAATGCACATCTAATATGTCCTAGGTACTGTTCTAGGCATGGGACATATCAGTGAACAAAACAGACAAAATCCCCTGGTTTGTGGAGTTTATATCCTAGTCAATATATATAATTTGAATAACTTCAATTTGGCCCTTTCCTACAGAAATTACTAATAAAGTAGATAAATGTTTTATGCCCAAACACAAATATACATATCTCTTATAGCAGTCCACCATACAATCATATGAAAATATGTTTGACTTCCAGCTATAAAATAAATAAGTCACAGAGACGAAAAGTATAGCATAGGGAATATAGTCAGTAATATCGTAGGGGCGCCTGGGTGGTTCAGTCGGTTAAGCGGCTGCCTTCGGCTCAGGTCATGATCCCAGGGTCCTGGGATCGAGCCCGACGTTGGGATCCCTGCTCAGCGGGGAGCCTGCTTCTCCCTCTCCCTCTGCTGCGCCCCCTTCTTGTGCTCGCTCGCTCTCTGTCAAATAAATAAATAAATTCTTTAAAAAAATAATGACAGTATCATAATAATGTCGTTGGGTGACAGATGGTGATTACATTTACCATAGTGAGCATGGGGTAATACATAGAATTGTTGAATCAATACGCTGTACACCTGAAACATTTATGTTACTCATGCTTCAATAAAAATTAAATCAATAAATATGTTTGAGAACATTTATAACACAGAAGTACATTTAGCTACTGACTTTAAAACATTAGAAGTCAATACCTTGTCAGAAAATGTGAGAAAGGTCAGGGGTCCTAAAATTTATCTGCTAAGTGATTCACTTGGAAAAGGAGGTATTGGCTAGATTTTAGGTAAGTATACCAGATTTTAGACAACTCTTAACAGATCTCCATTTATATCTCTGAACTAAGCAACTGAAATAATCCAGATGTCGGACCTGTACGGCCTGAGGAAAACACTGGGTCTAGTGGGGGCAAGATTTTGATCATCCAGAGTTGTACTGTCCAATATGGTAGCTGCTAGTCACATGTAGTTATTCAACTTTGAATTACCTAAAAATTTCAAATTCAGCTCCTTAGTCACAGGAGCCACGTTTCCAGGGCGCAGTAGCCACGCGGAGCCGGTGGCTGCCATGTTGAACGGTGTAGACAGAGAACGTTTCCAACACTGCAGGAAGACAGTGCTGCTCCAGAGAATCCGAAGAAAACGCCGCCACTCCCGGGAAAGGCCAAAACGTCCCGAAAAGGGTTACAACAGGTGGCGATTATAATGGCAAAAAGGTAAGTTTTCCTCTCTATCCCTTGGCTATTTCCATCCCTGCGTCTTATTTGCCCTTCAGCTCCTGGAAAATCTGTCTTCTCCTTTCCTTACTTTCTCTCCCTAGCTTCTCACATTTTTTCCTACCCCATTTCTCACCCCTTCTCTATTGTCTCTAGTAACAACTATGCAGTCCACAGTTAATGACTGCAGCATTTGAGGTTTATATTCTTTTATATTTCTCAACGTTAAAATTTAATCTTTCTGTTTCCGAAAAAATACAATATTTAGAGGGAGATTTTTTTTTTCTTTTCTTTTTCTTTTTTTTTTTTTTTTAGGTGTATATGACCTTCTGTGTATTTTCCTCCCCGAGATCATTATCCCTCCTTAGAGTTTCTCACCTTTAGAATCCGGGGTGGAAAAGATAAGCAATTCTCGTTCCAGCCTCTGGGGTTTCCCTCTTGGAGGAAGGGCTCGGTCCTTGGGCCGCTACTCCCGCGCGGCCCCCCGCTGCCCCTCTCGTTCCGCTGACCTTCTACTGTCACCCAGCGGAGAGAAGAGGCAAGAGCTCCTGCGCGAGTTTGGCCGTTACCAAGCGACGGAGGCGGTGCGCGGCCTGGCCTAAGGAGGAGGGCGCACACTAAAAGCCGCCGGAAAGAGTGTAACAACGCCGCTTTCTACTGGCTGGAGAGCTCTCAGCCATCGCCTTGAGCCAATGAGCAGATGCATGCGGATGACGTCAGACGAGATGCGACTCCTCCCATCCACCCTCTAGCGAAGCGCCCGGCGACCGCTGAAAGCGGCTTTGATCTCCTAGGGGTCTTGACTTCCCCGTGTTCAGCTCGCCCCATGTGCACCTCGCAGCTCGCGCTACTGCAGGTGTTCTTCCTGATGGTCCCCGAGGGCATCTGGCCGCAGCCCTCTTTCTCCCCGTTAGGGGCTCTGCCCACCCCTTCGGACGTGGGGCCAGCGTCGCCGGGCGGGACCCTTGAGTCCTCCTCGGAGGGGTCTGAAACTCCCTGGCCTGTGTCTGGGATCTCTACGGTGGGCCCTACGGTCCTGACCTCCCCTGCACCTGGGAATGGGACCGTAGACCTCTTCCCAGGTGAGGAGGGGAGATGCGGGGATGGAAACCACTGACTTGGATCTTAAAATCCTTTGAGCAAAATGAATTTCCACGAAGTGAGGAGTGGGGCTATCGGAAGAGGGGAATTCGCGCTTGGAAGTTTGGGAATCCTCATCCCGTTCGCTCTGCTTTATCTTCATAGTCTTACCGATCTGTGTCTGTGACTTGACTCCTGGCGCCTGCGACATAAATTGCTGCTGCGACAAGGACTGCTATCTTCTCCATCCGAGGACGGTTTTTTCCTTCTGCCTTCCCGGCAGCGTGAGGTGAGCTGCCGTGTGCCGGTTGAATCCTAAAAAAACTGGGACCCTAGAATAGGTCATATTTGGAAGTAGGAAGAGTTACCTTTCCTGCCTTCAGCCCCCACTTCCATTTCTGTAAGTGGAATTAGCTTGGTTTTTCCCAGGAGTGAAGTTCCTCCTCAAATTCTCTAGAGCAGGGCAGTCCAGTAGAATAGGACTTTTGTGTTGGCCTGTGGCTGCCCAAGGAGGCCTCTCTTAGGCATTGACTGACAGCCATGCAGCACCTTTTTGGACCTAACGCTCCGCTTCTAATCTGTTCTTCATCCTATTTCCTCTCAGGTCTTCAAGTTGGATGTGCGTGGACAACTCTCTTATCTTCAGGAGTAATTCCCCATTTCCTTCAAGAGTTTTCATGGATTCAAGTGGAATTAGGCAGTTTTGTGTCCATGTGAACAACTGTGAGTAGAAATGTGTTGGCTATTCTTGTTACCTAACATTTGTTGAAAATTGGCTTTGTGTCTGAACTTTTGTTTTTAAACTTTTCTTTTGTCTGTTGAATTTCTATCATCCGCCCTTTTCTACCTCTCTACTTGCCCCCTCTCTCTTATTAGTGAACATCTGCAATTTCTTATGCCCTCTTGGCTGTGGAACAGCAAACCCATACAGAACTTTAATTTCAGTCATCCTTGTTAGCCGTAAGGAGATGGCTGCAGGAACTTGAATAGATTTCTATATTGTTATAATACAAATTATAGACTTATTAGAGAATATACCTCTTTGGAGTGTCTGAAAATTTAAATGTAGAAATTATGAAGTGAAAGGAGGGAAACATAACAAATTCATATACTTGAGAGATGGAAACATTATTATTAGGACTGGTCAGTTGAAGTTTAGAAGAAACAGGAAGGAGAGGACAAATTTAATGTTATCTCTAACTTTGCCATGTTCCAACAGAAACAGTACCATTTTATTGCGCTAGAGACTAATCTGGTATGGGGCAAATGTGAGCATTATTGAACCTCCTGTTTCCATCACAAATTGCTAATCACTCACATTCCTGGCATCAGGGACTTGGAACTGCCTGGCATTCATTGGCCATATTCTTACCTTAGATCTTAATAATAAAACAATAGTTCTTTTAACAGAATATACATGCAGTAGAAGGTGATAAAAATCAGAATTATTATCTTTAAAAGTGGAGTATTATTGATTGTGAGTCTTCTGGGAAAATGTTCTATAACGTAATCTGCGTAGTAGGAATAAAAGTATAGCAATGTGTAAAAATTTTTTTGAGTTTACACTTAAGATGAGTGCAATTACAAACTTTGCTGTGTATGTATTATGCCCCAATAAGAATACTTTTTAAAAGCGGTTACTTGGTGTGCCAGATGTTTTTAAATAAATATTTTTCTTTTATCTAAACCCCTTATCTTTTAAAAAACATTTTAGCAAAATTAAACTATTTCCAGAAGCTCCAAAAGGTCAATGCAACCCACTTCGAGACCCTGGCTACAGAGTTTGGAGGTGGATCATTCACTTCAACATTCCAAACCCAGTTGCCACCACCTCATTACAGGGTGAGCCTGGGGATAGGGATGGGATTGTTTGGTGTGGTTTTTCCCTCATGGCTGACAGTTGACCAGGTATCTTTAAGGTACACCCCTGCAACTGGGTCAACCACTGTCAAGCTCTTTTAGAAGACAGTATTATGCACATTCACGAGCCCTTGAGTTAATTTTTGTTTCTACTTTTTCTTTGCTGGTGGAGTTCAGTCCAATCTCACTTTGAATAAATTTCTACTATACTTTGTTCAGGCTGGGGACCCCATTTTGACTTACTTCCCCAAGTGGTCTGTAATCAGCTTGCTGAGGCAGCCTGCGGGAGTTGGAGCTGGAGGGCTCTGTGCCGAGAGCAATCCTGCAGGTGAGTCCAAAACAGAAGTGCCAACGTTTTTGTTCCATTTAAAATAGGCTTTCTGGGGCGCCTGGGTGGCTCAGTCATTAAGCGTCTGCCTTTGGCTCAGGTCATGATCCCAGGGTTCTGTGATGGAGCCCCACATCAGGCTCCCTGCTCCGCGGGAAGCCTGCTTCTCCCTCTCCCACTCCCCCTGTTTGTGTTCCCTCTCTTGCTGTGTCTCTCTGTCAAATAAATAAATAAAATCTTTTTAAAAAAATTAAAATGGGCTTTCTTAGAAATCACTTTAAAAAAACCTAAAAAAAATTGTTTTTCACAAAAATAAAATGGGCTTTTTCTTTTATCACTCCCTTAATTCTTTGTGTTCTAAGGTTTCCTGGAGAGTAAAAGTACAACCTGTGCTCGTTTCTTCAAGAACCTGACAAGTAGCTGCACCTTGGATCCAGCCCTCAATGCTGCCTCTTACTATAACTTCTCAGTCTTGAAGGTGGTATCCCTTCCCTCCCCACTGTCACTGTTGTGGATATGAAGTCAGCATGCTTCCTGCTATTGGGTTGTGGATAAAGCACTGAACTGAAAGTCAGAATGCCTAAGAACTACATAAAAAACAGAGGGCCCAGAAACCCTACCCTCTGAAGAAAGATGAAAGAGTTGGGGGATATATCCAGGATAAGAGATTCTACCCTCCTGGATAATGCGATTGGCTTGGGAGGGTGGCAAGGGATGACATTTCACTATCTCACCAAAACCTCTTGCTTTTGCTGTTCAGTAGAGCTCTGCACAGAGTAGGTGTGTCATAGCCCAACCTCTCCTCAGCTTTACTCATAGCATTTTAGTATAAAGAAGAGTCAGGTAGAAGAGAAAAATCATTCTAATATGTTGATTTTTTCCTCCCCACACGCGAAACCACAAGCTCCTGGAGATTTTCTCTGAGGTGTATGCACACTCACGGTTCTTGCTATTCTCTTTTTCTAGGTTCCAAAAGGTATGACTGATCTGCAGAATATGAAGGTATGACATTGTTTATCACGGAAAAGGAAGGAGACTATTTGGTCCCTTTGCATCTGAGGCAATTTCAATCTAGACTGTAATTGTGAAAGGAAATGTATGTGTGATGTATCAAACTCTTAAGTGTGAATCTAAAACATTGTTTTCCCGTGTATGTTCTATATGATTAATAAGCATCACATGAAATACGAATTCATAAGGTGTTAGATAAGTTCGGGAAACGTTGGGTTAAGTAAAGTTAAATACTATATTTAGAGTGGACTTCTTAGAGTCTTTAATGTGCTAAAGGGACTTGGTACTCTCTAAGAGGGGAATACCAAATATAATATTTCTAAAATTTATTTGGGGGCACCTTGCTGGTTCAGTAGAGCTTGCAACTCTTGATCTTGGGGTTGTGAGTTCAAGCCCCGCACTGGGTGTAGAGATTACTTAAAGGAAATAAAAACTTAAAAAAAAAAAAACAACCACAAAAATTTGTAAAATTTATTTGACCACGGAACCTTTATTTTATATCTAGTGGAATTAATGTTCTGAGAAATATGTTTTGAGAAGTGCTGATTTAAAATGATTTTTGATCTTAAGTTGTAGGCTGGCAATGGAAGGAAAGAGGAAGGTGTCAAAAATGAAAAATACTCATTTCAGCATAATACGTAGCTAGAAGAGAAAATACTGCTTTCATTTCAGTTGATTTGCTTCTTTCCCTTGCTAGTTCCAGGTTCCTGTAACTCTTATCTCACAAGCTGGTTCTCCTCTCTTGTCTGGAAACACTTGTCAGAATGTGGTTTACCAGGTGAGGACGCTGACCTCAAATTCTGGACTGATGTTTGTTGATCAACATTACTAAAGGTGCCTCATCTTCCATTAAGTACCAGACCAACCCCACATGAATTTTTGTGCATGGAACTTAACATGTCAAGAATTGAGCCCATCACCTTCCTCCCTACCATATTTCAGTTTCCATTACTACCATCCTCTAGTATTTCATGTACAAAAGATTACAGTTACTTCTGACTCCTCTTTCTTTACCCACTTGTGGTTTATTATAGTTCTTACCACATTTTCTTCTGTTGACAAAATCAGTATCATCTGAAAATCTAAAATAGAAGAGTCCACTTCTTTTCCTCCATTCTCCCTTTTGATCACCCTACAGAAGGAAGAATTGTCTTAAACATCATTGTAAAGACTGCTCAGAAATCTAAGGTTACCTTCAATTGCTTATGAATTCCATCTCCAGCTATTATCTTCATTCATCCTCAGACATTGGGAGAGCCAAGTAAACCGGGTGTCCATTCCGTGCTCCTTCTCTACTCATGTCCTCTGCGCATCTTCAAAACTCATTTTTCTTCCCTTTCAATCCTTACCATAAACTTACTTCTCCCATGAACCCTTTCAAAGAGCTCTATCCAGTCTCTTTGCATGTGTAGATAGATTATGAATTCTGTCTTTTCATGGTATTTGTGTTTGGCATTTTTAAGATTACTTGTTTAGTCTCCCTCATTCAGTTATTTTTTTTATTGAGATATAATATCACTAGTTTTAGGTGTACAACATGTATTCATATATACATATATATATATACACACACATATATAGTGAAATGATTACCACAGTAAGTTTAGTTGATATTCATCACCGCACAATTACACATTGTTCCTTGCAATGAGAACTTTTAAGATCTACTCTCTTAACTTTCAAATATACAATAAACTAGTCACTATGCTGTACCCTCATTCACTTATAGTAAAACTCTTATTAAGACAGAAAATCTTCTGTATAATTGTCCCATTAAATAACTGTTATTAATTCTACTTTTGTATTTCAGGTCATCTATGAGATAGAGACCAATGGGACTTTTGGAATCCAGAAAGTCTCTGTCAGTTTTGGACAAACCAACCTGCCTGTCGAGCCAGGCACTTCCTTACAACAACACTTTCTCATTCGCTTCAGGGTTAGAGCCCTTCTGCTATAGGGGATTGAGAGGGGAGGAAATACTGGATTAGAAATAGTGCCCGAGCTTCTGTGATACATGCAAAATAGATTAAGAATATGAAGGCCCTAGGGTTCCACAACCAGCCTAAAAAAAAAAAAGAACATGAAGGCCTAGTTCAATCTGTCAGTTGAGGCCTCAACATTTCGTATTTCATAATTTAACTACAAATGACAGAGATTCAACAATGTTTTATTCAGTAGCATTTTCTCAGATTATCTGGCTCCCCAGTGAAGCAGGACTTTAGTCTCAAATCCAAACTCTTTTTTTCAATAGTCACTTTGAATCATAAACTCAGCCTACCTCCCACAGAAATTCTTTAACTAGCTTTTCTCATATTTCTGGGCATTCAGCCGATTTTTGTTTGTTTTTCACTTTTACTCTATATTTCTGCATTATTTGAGTTTATATACTTATAATGAATTTTTACTTGTATATATTTATGAACATGTCAAAATATAATGTGACAGCATTCAGCATTTTACTCATTTCCCACTTAATCTAACTTTCCAATCTTGATCACCATCTTTTGGCTTTCTTCTACTTCTTTCTTCTTTTTGAACCCAGCAGAATCATGTTTCTTCTCCACTCTGCTCTCAAGTGATCAACCAAGTCTCATGCTTCTCAGTTTATCTCTGGAACATCTGTAGTTAATTAAAAGATATTTCTAAATTATGTTTAAATTCCTCTCATTTCAGCTAGGCTGAACATAGCATCAACTGATAGTAATTTTTGAGAAACAGGGTTGGTCAATCCTTGGTTGTAATCCTTGGTAGAAGTAGCATGTAGTGAATTTCAATTTTTAGATCACTCAGCACCTATTTCAGTGAATAAAAAGTAAAACACGGAAGTTTTGCAAGAAACTTCTGCAAAATGCTCCACTGTGGAAGGGAGCCAGATTGTTTGGTGCAGCTAACTTACTGCATTGCCATAAAGAAGGGTATGAAGCCAAGCAGTGGAAGGTGTGAGAGCATGCTTTTCTCTGTAGGTGACTTTCCTTCACTCTTTCTGCAGGCTTCTCAACAGAGCACAACTGCTTCTCCTACTGGTCCTAGAAGTGGGAATCCTGGCTATATTGTTGGGAAGCCACTTTTGGTCCTAACTGGAGATGTAAGTCACTCTGTATCCTTTTCTGGAGCTGTGTAGCCTGTTACAGCCTAATGAGAAAAGCTGTGGCTACTGATGTTTTGGGTTTCCCAATTCTGAGGTCCCCTGATTTTTTTAGGTATTCAGGACTTTACTGAACCATTAATACATTATGTTCTCAAAGTTGTTGCTACCAAAGGCTTTAAAATGTGTTAAACTGATGAAGGTAAGGATCATGACTCATTTCTGTTTGTTTTAATGAAACATTTTTATACTGCTATGTGGTTAGCCATTTTTTGGGAAAATAGTTACTGCCTCTGTGTGTTTTTTAATTACTAGAGGAAAAAAACGTATTTGTGACTTGAACAGTGTCGTGACATTGGTAAAATATAGTGTTAAGGAAACAAGAGCATAAATTTTCCAATCTGCCTTCTTTTTATTCTGTTACACTCTCCTTGACCATCGCTTTCTACCTCAGATGACCCTCTTACAGAGCCAGGGTGATGGAATTTGCTCTGTTAAGAGATACGAAGTACAATTTGGAGTGAATGCAGTATCTGGATGCAAGCTCAGGTAGCTCTTTGCTTCCACATCATTTCCCACAATTTTGTCTCTCTAGGGAATATGTCGATATGACAACCTTTATATTTTGAATGACAATGCTAGTTAGGAGTTGTTTTGTAATCTAAATAATGTTAATATTGCTGAAAGTTTTCTGACAGTCTTCTATATCTAATAATAAGGATTATTTCCTCTATTTATTTTATAGTATCATTTTTAAACTTTGGATTAATATGTTAGCATTGGACTCGAGCCTCCGTGGTGTTTCATTTCAGGCTGAAAAAGGTGGACTGCAGCCACTTACAGCAGGAGATTTATGAGACTCTTCATGGAAAGACCAGCCCAGAACATGTTGCCATCTTTGGTAATGCTGTCCCAGCCCAGAAGAGAGAGTGGACAAGGATTCTCAGCAGGAACTGCAGTGTTTCAGTAAGGAGAGAAATACATGTTCTCACAAAAACTCACTTCCCGTTTTGTGTGTAAATTATGGATATCAGAATTAAAACCAGCCCTGTTTCTATAGATGATGGGACTCTCATAGAAGGAAGTAATGTAGTCATAAAAGGAAGAGTACAAGAAATCATGCCCATTTAAAGTCATTATTTCAGGTTAGGTTTATACCTAACTTATTTTCCTTACTTGGAAAAAAAATTTGAAGGTAGAAAAATATTTGAAGGTAGAGATTGTTCTGTGGTTCAAAATCAACCTACTCATAGTAAGAGAAAAATAAATGTATTTATTTCATATATATTTCAAATATTCTCTTATATTCTTGAATGTTTGGTCAACATAGATTCTTTCAGGTTGAAATTATGTTCTTTCTGTCATAAAAGTTTACATAATTACATTTAATAAAAATACATTAACAGGTTAAAAATTCAAACTATGTATAGTGGTATTAAATGCAAAGTAAAAATCGCAACAACCCCTACCCTGGAAGGAACCGCACATAGCTGTTTCTGTTTTTACTTTTCCTGGTGGTCTCCTAGATCAGTGCCAACGGGTGTATCTCTTGACTCCAACCCAGGTGAAATAAGTAAATCTGCTGTGCTAGTCTGTCTTCTTCCTCTTTTGCCTACCCCCTATCTCCTCACTGTAGTCAGCCATACCTTTAATTTTCTTTTCTAATTTTCAATTGTTTATTTTTCTGTATAAGTAATGTATACACTTGGCTCAAAATTCAAAAAGTACAAAATAAAAATCTCTCTCTCAGACAGCTCTTCCCTTCCACACAGGCAACTGAAGTTACTAGTTTCTTTCCTTCCACAGATCCTGCATGCTCACACAAGTAAATACTCTTGTACTTTTTTTTTTAATCCAATCCAAATGGTATAATATCATAAACACTGCTCTGCACCTTCCTTTTTTCACTTGATCTTAGAGTTTCTTCCTTATCAGTACATAATATGCTTCCTCATTCTTTGGGAAATATAGCTCCATAGTATTCCATTACATGGATGAACCAAAATTCATTTAGCCAGAGTTTTTGGTGGATGTTCAGTTTGTTTTCAGTCTTTTGCTATTATATACAATGTGGCATTTTGTAACCTGGCTCAGGCACCATTTTGTACATGAGAGAATAAACCTATATGATAACTTCTAGAAGTAGAATTGCTAGATCAAAGGTATATGCATTTAAAATTTTAATAATGTCAATTTATTCCCCATACATACAGTATCCAGTCCCATCATTCATCTGTGAGACTGCTTTTTCCCCTTACCCTCAGCAACAGTGTTATGAAACTTTAATCTTTTTTCGTAAGTGAAAACTAGTATCCCAGTATAGTTCATTTTTCTCTCACTATGAGTAAGAGTTTTATTTTTCTCTCACTATATTTTGATATATGGTTGAACAATTTGTATTTTATTCACTATTATTTATATTCCTTGCCTATTTTTATTGAATTATTGGTCTTATGACTTATAGGAAATCTTTGCAAATTTGAGAAATGGACCTTTTTCTGTGGTATGATTTGTAGATATTTTTTCTCAGTTTGTCATTAGTCTTTTGACTTCATTTCTGCTGGGTTTTTTGTTTTGTTTTGTTATGGTTTTTTGCCATGCAGACACTGATTTTTATATTGTGAAAGATAACCAGTTTATTTTTTTTTAACTTTTGAGTTTTGGTTCAGACTTCAAAAGGTCTTTCTCCTTAGCAATTATTTTGGAAGTGCCCTTTTTCCCTTCCTCAGCACTATTATGACTTTATTCCTTATATACTTTGTTCCTCTTAAGAAGACGGGAGGGATAAGTAAACACATGTACTTGATCCAGCCTTTGGGCAACTGAAGTCAAATTGAATTCTCTTAAACCTCCAGTATAGCCCTACAAAGGAATTGTGGTTCACACTTCACACCCACTAGGATGGCTATACTTAAAAAGATAGACACCGGGGCGCCTGGGTGGCTCAGTCGGTTAAGCGACTGCCTTTGGCTCAGGTCATGATCCTGGAGTCCCTGGATCGAGTCCCGCATCGGGCTCCCTGCTCGGCAGGGAGTCTGCTTTTCCCTCTGACCCTCCTCCCTCTCATGCTGTCTCTCATTCTCTCTCTCACAAATAAATAAATAAAATCTTTAAAAAAAAAAAAAAGATAGACACCAACAAGTGTTGTGTGTCAAGGATGTGGAAAAACTGGAACCCTCAGACATTGTTGATGGGACTGCAGATGGTGCGGCCACTTTGGAAAAAAGTTTGATAATTCCTGAATAAAGTAAACTTAAGTATGTTCTGTCTCCCCCATTCCTAGTTTATATATGTTATTGCCAGTGTCTGAGCTTTACTGTAAAAAGGTATGAAGCTGGAAAAGCACAAGGCATATTTGAGGATAGTTTGTATTTGCTAAGTTATAGTAACTCACTTTCGTCAATCCTTCTTACCTCTTAGAATTAATCCTCCTGGAGTCAGACTGCTTGGTTGGATGTCATAATCTAATCCTGAAATGTCTTCCTTAACCTTTCACTGCTTCCGTGTCCAAATCCTTTGCTTCACTCAAGTGGTCTGCTCAAGGCCAGTGCCTCCATCACACCTAGCACATAGAAGACACTCAGTCACTGTTATTCAGATTAATCAATGAATGTCCCTCCGTGGCATCATGTGCTGTTCTACTTGCACACCTGTTTATATGCCATCTCTCTACCTGAATTTCCTTTATCATCACCATTCTTTCCAGTCACATATTACTCACCCCAGGCCCATGAAGCCATAGAAGTGGCTGTTTCTTCTGGCATTCCACAACACTGACTATGCATCACTCATAGAGCACTTCTTACAGCTATTGTACATTTTATTACATTTTATTAGTCTCTGTGTTAGTCATTTCCCATTTCCATTTTAGAATATTAATTTTTTAAGATCCAAGACAATGGTATGATCTATTGTGAACTTTTGTGTTCTTTCTCTAAGTCATATTACCTTCTCTGTTATATATAATGTTTAAGAAGCAGTGGCTACTTAATGCATGGTAACTGACTAGGCAACCATCAGCAATTCAACAGATGCTTCTTTACCCTTCTACAGGCTACACGTTGTACTTCCTGCTGTGTCATACCAGTTTCCCTGGAGGTCCAGGTATTGTGGGCATATATAGGTCTCCAGTCCAACCCACAAGCTCATGTGTCAGGAGCCCGGTTCCTATACCAGTGCCAGTTCATAAAGGTAAGTCATGGCTTACCTTGCAGTGGCTTATCTTGCAATGCTTAATTGTCTTATAAGCTGTATGGTAAGCTTTTGACAATGAGAGCCAATTTATGCTACCAGCCAACATTTGGTTTTAGTGAGCTGACACAGCTTTTAAGTCAATCCTACCTGCCTGCTTATTGAAATTAGCATGTTGTCATGATAAATACAATCTATATCCTTTTTCCCAGTTTGTTTTCTCTTTTAATTTCCTGAACCCAGGCTATAGTATAGGTTAATTTCTCTTCAATTATCATACCAGTGTTACTATACCAGTTGATTTAACTACAGAAAACATTTTCCATAACTGTGCATTCAGTGTGACAGTCACATACTTATCAGAGTCTCTGAGCCCGTTGATTGCTTATAGATATTTCTGGGGCTAGTTGGTAGTCATCAATTCTTGATTGATTGCACTCCATTAAAATAAATAATTTTACTATGTAGTAAACATATACCTGTTGTTTATGATGTGTGTTAGCTCACCTTTAACACATCTGCCTTGATTTTAGTATCTAATCCTTAGCTTTAGAATTGTGAAAACAAAAATGATTAAGTCCCAGTGAACTGATTCACATATAAATTGCATGCTAGTTTATTAACTTTTAATGAAAATTAAAACTAATTGAAATTATTACCTATATGTCATTGCATTTACATCCCAGAAAAGAAAGAAACTAGAGACTACATGTAGGCCAGAAATAAAATATCTTTAGCTCCTTCTTACAACAGCGTTGAGTACCTTAGCTCTCTTTGCCTACAAATGGGGTTAAAACTCAGGTTACCAGAAATTGTTAGTGAGAGCACTCCATTTTTTCTCTGTATTGGTTTACTGAATAAAATAGCACTATTTCTGTAAGACTCTTTTAATCTGTTACAGATCCTACACTGAATATGTTGTTTTATTTTTCTAAACTGTATCTTTATTTGCAAGTACCTATGTAGTTTGGGAAGATACCCACGGGACTATTCTTTTTTCTCTGAATTTGTGGTTCTCTTAGGCATGGAAGCGACCCAGTTCCTCTCTCTTATGTAGATATTTTAATCATTATCTTATTCTAATACTTAGTAGAGGTTAGCTTTTTGGGTTAGTTTTCCCCCTCTACAAAATCACACTTTACAGTCATTCACATCTAACTGGCCTGAATGGTTGACAATTGAGAATTTCAGCTGTGCTTCATTCATGCATAGCAAGACAGTATCTATTCCAATCATGGAGCAAAAATTAACTGTGTTGAACTTACTGAGAAGTGGTATGGGATATACAAAATCATGTGCCTTTACTTATGACAATTTAAAGGATGTACAAAGGTAATTTCGACTATACAAAAATTTTCACTTTAAGGGCTGACTTAAGAAACTCGCCCTCATGAAAGTTGCCATGCCCCTGTAAACATAAAAGGAGTTGTGAAACAATAGTGTCGTATCAGAAAAAGTTAAGCAAATACGAATATTTATTTCTGTAATAAAGAGACTTATCGTCTGTATTGAAAGACTTTTTTACTTCTTCAGTCATGAGTGGAAATTTTCTCCTGAAGTCCTATAAACATACTCACTTTTCTCTTTATGTGTTTATATTTTGATTATTCTTAACTTTAAAGATTTTTTTTTAAGATTTTATTTTTATTTGACAGACAGCAAGAGGGGGAACACAAGCAGGGGGACCGGGAGAGGGAGAAGCAGGCAGGGAGCCCGATGCGGGGCTCAATCCCAGGACCCTGGGGTCACGACCCAAGCCGAAGGCAGACGCTTGATGACTGAGCCACCTAGGTGCCCCACATTTGTCCTTAACTTTAAACCCTTATCCACACAGTCTTGTTTCTCAGGACTTCCTGTGAAATTTTTTTCTTAGAATAGCAAGAGACTATTCTGAGAAAGCTAGTGTACATGTTCCCAAAACTTCTAAAGGAAAAAGAAGAGTTAAACTTTCAGAAGATAAATGTTCTATGATTTTCTCCCTACCCACTGGCCACATAGGTGAGAGCAGTCTCACGTAGGCTGTGTCAGTCAGCTTGGTGTATCTGAGTGATGGCATAAAAGTAAAGCTGGGTGGCAAACTGTAGGCTGTGGGCTAGAGTTATCCTGTACACTTGTTTCGTTTTGCCCACAGTGTTTTGTTTTGTTTAAATTTGTGCCACATTTAAAAATGAGGAAATTTCATGTTGACATCCAGATTTCTGACTTCTCTTGAAAATCTAGCAATAGTGATCCTGCAGTCCTGCGTGGCATAAAATCTCTTGTCACTGAATGGTGGTTTCCACTTTTAAATAGAGTGCCCCTTTCACACAACCTGCGCCTACCCACCTTTAGTGATCCCACTCTTTCATTGAGGTTATCTGCTTAGAGCGGTAAGCATTTGTGTTTATGACGCTTGGGATGAAGCTGCTAGGTGGTCAGTTAAATTTTGAACTGAGCTGTCTGAATGACTTCATTGTACAGATGTTGCTTTAGAAACACTTCAAATTCCTCTCACTATAGAAAGTGATAGCAAAATTTTGAAAAGTCCCCAGGGACAAACTACAAAGCAGGGAAGAATTTAAGCAAAACACTGTGTAAACTTCCCTGTCTTCTTGTATGATAATAATAGCTAAACATTTATTGTCATTTACTTTGTGATAGTTACTGGTAGTGTTTTTTACAATTTTTTTTTAATAAATGTTGCATCCTCACAACAAACCCATGAAGTAAATAGGATTTACTTACGTGGTACTTTGCTGCTTATAATTTTGTACTAATTGAGCATTTAAAGGGATCTTTAAGTTTGGGAATTAATAAAATATAATATGTCTGCTATCTGAATAGAAACTTTTTTTTTTAATCGTATTTATTTATTTGACAGAGACACAGCGAGAGAGGGAACACAAGCAGGGGGAGTGGGAGAGGGAGAAGCAGGCTTCCCGCTGAGCAGGCTTCCCACCGATGCGGGGCTCGATCCCAGAACCCTGGGATCATGACCTGAGCTGAAGGCAGACGCTTAATGACTGAGCCGCCCAGGCGCCCCTGAATAGAAACTTTTTTAATTTAAAAAGAAAATTATCTCTAGAAAGAAACAACTACTTTTGCAGAATATTCTAGATCAGTCAAAACCAAAACAATAAGTGAGTGACAAGAACAATGTAGCATCACAGGATCAAGGCTCTGAACCTTTATAGAATTATAATATTCAATTCATCTTTATCTTTAAATGGATTATCAAGCTTTTTAGATTATCTAGGAGACCTATTTTTTGCAGTTTAGGGAGCATGGGTGTTGAGTCAGTGAGACATAGATCTAAATCAAGTTATTTTATTTCTCTAAATCTAAGTTTTCTCATCTATAAAGTGGAGATTAGTAATATTTCATTGGATTATACAGATTAAATGAGATCATAAAAGTAAAACATATTTCCTGGCACATAGTGAATACTCAGTAAATACTGCTCATCATATCATCATTATTTTTATCATCATAACTTTTTTGGTTCCAAATTTCCATAGAAGTAGCATATCAAGAAGGTTTAAAGCAAAAAACCAAAGAGATAAGCAGGCATTAGAGCAGTATTTTTCAGTCTTTGTTGGCCATCACACATGGTAAGAAATATATTTTACAATACAACCCACATTATAGCACACACATATATAAAGCTGAAACAAAAGTTTTAGGAAACAGTATTTTATGCAATGCACTGTGTGATCTTGTCTATTCTATTGTTGATTCTGTTCTTTGTTTAATGCTAGACAATAATGGGTCACAATTTGCAATTTGAAAAACACTTGGAGAAAATGCATCTGTGACTACATTTTAAAGCTAATTATATTATTTAATAATTCTTCTTATTTATTATAACTGAGGGTTGGCAGTGTTTTATATATCAATCATAGCATATGCTAGAATGATTGCCAGTCTAGCTTCCAATCTGTCATAGTGGTTTTTAATCTTATGGACCCCACTGAGAATCTGTTGGAAGCTATTCACCTACTAGAAAAATGCACAGACACATAATATTCTTTATATAGTTTCAAGGGATTTATTGATTTCTTAAAGCCAGACTAAGAACTATACTAAGAAAGATAAAGAAGACTAAATAAAATAAGAATGAAATTTACTGATTTTAGAAATAATTGCTATAAGGGAAAGGGCTAGGAAGTGGCTGGATTGGATCACCACCATTGGGTCATTGTGACAGTCTGTAAAGTTTGTCATTAAAGTCTTCCTTTTTCAAGGGTCAATCAACCACTGTTTGCTTCTGTTTCTTTTTTTTTTTTTTTTTAAGATTTTATTTATTTATTCATGAGAGACAGAGAGAGAGACAAAGGCAGAGGGAGAAGCAGGCTCCCCACGGAGCAGGGAGCCCGATGTGGGACCCGATCC